TGTCGCGTATCAGTGGACTGCGAGGTTGTGAAACCACAGCTTCTGTATTGCACAGCTGTTGTTAGTAACTTTAATTATTCTTTTCTTTTAACTGCTTTTATTTTAGTGTCTATATTGCCTGAAGACAGCCTTTAGCCAGCCCGAGTTAGATTGTCAAATGTCTTTTGCATGTCTTTCAGCCGGCTCATAATGAGTTGTCACTTTTAATGAAGTGCAGTAGTTTTGTGCATATGTGTGTAAATTTGAAAGTGCACAAAATGTATATTTGTGACAGGCCACAGTTGTATAAAAGGAGGACATTTTTACCATGATGCCATCGACTGGTTTCTAATGTTGTGTTTTGAAGCCTCGAGAATAGTGTTTCTAGAGTCTCCATTTGGATGTGATGAGGAGGAAGGGAGGGATGACTTGAGTGAAATGAGTCTATCCAAGATAATTCTCCTTTTTGAGACATAGTGGGACAAAGATTTACAAACTAGACTTCATTTTTTATTCAGTATGACCCAAAACAGCTCATCGGTAACTCATGAGGAAGGTTTACAGAGGTCCAGATAATGCTGATTTCACATATGCTTCTGTAGGACAGAATGTCTTTTTGCAACCACAATTATCACCATCTGGTAGCCTTCAGAATGAATGCAGGGTTAAGAAACTTCTGCACTGGCTTCATTTTTCTGACCTGGAAGCTGCGTCCATGTTTTATACCATCTGAGGGATACTAATGATCACCAGGGTCTGCCATTAGTGCTAAAATGACATACACAACACACTGAGCACACAGAGGAAGAATGTTGATTGCTTTTATGTTGAATGCTTTCCGTTTTTGACGCAAATCCTAAAACCATTTCCAGTGACAGCACCACATCCCTCTGCGACACATTAGAACAGTGACAGTCCTCCACCCTGGCGGGGCACATCAAATATTATCTTGACAGGATCACATTTTATAGCAGCGTGCAGATGAGATTCTTCATTCATTCATTCCCGAGTATGTGTAAGATACCGCTTTGAGGACATGTAGGGTGTAATTTATCATAAACTTGTGAAAAAGTTTATGATAAATTTGTATTTAATAAATAGCTTTTATGGCTGTGCATGTAGGTTCCTGTCAGTTTAGACTTTTGTTGTCTCATTTTTCCTTAATGTGGCTTTAAAACAGCTCGTGCATCAGTTTTTCCCGAAAGAAATTAGACTGGGAAAGCATCCAGTGGTTGTGCATGACAGAACCTTTACAACTCAGATAATGATTTTGGGGTCGTTCACATTATGGAGACAGAAAACTGCATAATGTCCATTACTGATTGTTACAGTATTAAACATTTAAAGTAACTTTTCAAAGTCAGAGTCACTGTTTATGTGCTAAATGTTTCTGAGTAACTGGTGCAGCAGATTATCCTAATCTGAGTCTGTCATATCATTATGTAATACTTAATAATTCTGTTTGTTTGTTTTGTGTTTATTTCATCTGAAAGACCCCAGAGAAGCGCAGCCATAACGGATACACTAACTTGCCAGATGTGGTGCAGCCCTCTCACTCCCCCACTGACTCAGCCACTCACTCCTCTCCTGGGAAGGACTCTGTTTACGATGTAAGTGTTACCGATGCTAAGTATATCGGCCCTAAATTCCTCCTCCCCCCTCCCTCCCGACGTGTTCCACATTTACCATCAGATCAGTCACGAAGTTCACCCATAACTGAATGCATTTACAAATATCAGTAGTGCAGCTCTTAAAGCTGTTTTGATGCCACGTAAGCACTTAAAACACTTGGAGATGGAAGAAAAATACATTTTCAGAAGAAATGTAGGCTTAAACAAGAATATAGAACTAACACACACATCCTGTTCTCCCAGTATCAGTCCAGAGGTTTGGTTAAGGCATCTGGCAAATCCTCTTTCACTACCTTTGTGGATCTGGGGATGTACCAGTCACCAGGAGGTACAGGCGATAACATATCTGTCAGTGGTGAGCGAAATATTCACTACCTTAACCTTGTTTTTGCATCAGAATACTTTTCCTTTATTTACGAAAACAAGTCTGATGACTTGATAATGGATGTAATGTTGATTTAAAATAGGATTATTGAAACATTAGTATATATGTATTTTGTACTGATTTGTGTTTTCCCTCTTCAAATAAGCCATTCCCATTGCTGCTTCTGTGTGTAGGCTCCAGGTTTGATCAGCTGAAGATGGAAGTGAGGAAAGGATCCATGGTGAATGTCAATCCCACCAACACACGCCCTCCTAATGACACACCAGAGATCCGCAAGTATAAGAAGAGGTTTAACTCTGAGATCCTGTGCGCTGCACTTTGGGGTAAGAACCGGTTCAGGATTTATTAATGAAAAAATATCAATGCAAAATGCAAACACTCTTACCGAAGTGTGTGTGTGTGTCTTTAGGTGTGAACCTTTTGGTAGGCACGGAGAATGGTTTGAAGCTACTGGATCGTAGTGGTCAGGGCAAGGTGTACCCCCTCATCAACTCGCGCAGGTTCCAGCAGATGGACGTCCTGGAGGGCCTCAACCTGCTCATCACCATATCAGGTCACAACTGCTGCCCACTGCTGTTGCTGCAGCTGGTTAAGTTTGTCTGTCCTTTGGTCATGAGATGATAAACAAGCTTCTTTTTTTCTGCATTTGAAAATACTAACAAAAGTTGGCTGTTATCCCCTACAAAGCTGTCTCTCACTGCTTTTTTTCATTCACTCACTGTACTGACAGCTGTGTCATATGTTGTGAGTCTCCTCTGCTATGTCAAAAACAATGACCCTTCAACTTTAATTTCCTTTCTGTGAGGCCAAAGTTAAAAAAGGCAAGTAGACTGAGAGAAGACTGTGTTGCTGTGGCTGAAAAACGTGCATTTATAATTGTGCCATTAGTGGCACAATTATAAATCATAGCTTCCCTTCCATCATCCCTTCTAGAGGGATTAGTATGTACAGCAGGAAAGGATTTAAGTTGGACAGTAATATCATGGGGAAAAAAATAATATTTTCATATGATATCCATTTTGCCATTTCCCGACCTTTAATTGCAGGATAAAAAAAATAATGTAACCACATTATATAAATGCACTTAAATAATTACTATAATGTCGTCAGATTTATAATTGATCTTTCTCTCTGTGCATCTATTAAGGCAAGAAAAACAAAGTGCGTGTCTACTACCTGGCATGGCTGAGGAATAAGATCCTCCACAATGATCCTGAAGTAGAAAAGAAGCAGGGTTGGACCACAGTGGGAGAGATGGAGGGCTGTGTACACTACAAAGTGGGTGAGTGACAGATGATGGCTTTTTATCCGTGGTCTTCATTAAACTCCTGAGCAATTGGTGATGAATGCATTTGGCACAGTAAATTATTAATTACAAGTGTCTGATGTCAGATGGCCTTGTGCTTGTTCTGTCTAGTGAAATACGAGAGGATAAAGTTCCTGGTGATTGCTTTGAAGAACGCGGTGGAAGTTTATGCTTGGGCGCCCAAACCTTATCACAAATTCATGGCCTTCAAGGTAAGTCTCCCCTTTCGTATGAGCTGGATTAGTTATGCAAGGGCAGTCAACCAGAAGCGGGTTCAAGTTGATTATCTTCTCATTCTCCCTTTCTGCGTCCTATCACCCTCCACCCCTTTAAACCAGTCTTTTTCAGATTTGCCACACAGGCCTGTCTTGGTCGACTTGACAGTGGAGGAAGGCCAGAGGTTGAAGGTCATCTATGGATCTTGCGCTGGCTTCCACGCCATTGATGTGGACTCCGGAAACAACTATGATATTTATATTCCCGTTCACGTAAGTTTTATGGCAACAATTTGTAAAATATAAAGCAGACAATAGCTCATCCCTCCGGGTTTCTATCTCAAACAGATCCAGAGCCAAGTGATGCCACACGCAATCGTGTTCCTGCCCAGCTCAGACGGCATGGAGATGCTGCTGTGCTATGAGGACGAGGGCGTCTACGTCAACACATATGGGCGCATAATAAAGGACGTTGTCCTGCAGTGGGGCGAGATGCCTACATCTGTTGGTACGGGTCACACCAAGCAGCATTGAATTGTAAAGACTGTAACTGGTTAATCCGGTCCTAACCTTACACTGTGCTCTGCAGCTCATATCTGCTCAAACCAGATCATGGGTTGGGGAGAAAAGGCCATTGAGATCCGCTCTGTGGAGACTGGCCACTTGGACGGTGTTTTTATGCACAAAAGAGCTCAGCGGCTGAAGTTCCTTTGCGAGAGAAATGATAAGGTAAACATAGAAACACTTGTAGAAGGCCAACTCTGCTTTTAGTATGAACGCAGAGCCTGCAGCTGATTAGCTTAGCATAGCCACTGATTGCAGAGGCGTGCAGCTACCCTGAAAGAAAGTAATCTCGTCACCAGAACCCCGAAGCTCATGAGACACACAAAGAGTTATTTATATGTGAATCGGTGATTGCCTCGAGTGCCTTTCCAGCACACCGTCCCAGCCATTAACACCTTTTAACAGCGTTGATCAGCTCCTGGATGCAGCTTGTTGGTAACATCTTTGAAAAAGAATAACATGCATCTCGATTGTGTCTATCCTCAGGTGTTTTTCGCATCAGTGCGGTCCGGAGGCAGCAGCCAGGTTTACTTCATGACGTTGAACAGAAACTGCATCATGAACTGGTGAAAGGACCCCAGCAGGGATCGAAGAAAGAAGTGCATCCGAAATTTGCGCTAACGCATGCACCACACGTGAACATCACTCTCTCTTTTCTCTCCAGCAAGCTCACACTCAAGCACTCATAGTCCAAAGAGACACGCATACACACACACAGCACACACAACACACACACACACCACACACACAGACACATACAAATACAAAAACAATCTTAAAATCCATTCCAACTTACACTCCTTAAGACGCCGTTTCAACCGTGACCCCCTGAAAACATTCTCCCTCGAGGATACCGTGAAAAACAGCCGATGAGCTTCATATGTTGATACCATCTATTTCATTTGTACTGTATATATTCTTGTCTTGATTTCCTTTTCTTTGTGGACCCGTGTTCAGTCGTAAATATTTAGTTCCTAATTGTGAAGTATGTTAACATTCCTTGATGGTTCTCCAGTACTTTTGAGGAAGGCATTATTTACTAATGGTATATATCAAAATGAAGCTGTAAATAGATAGCACCTTAGACTTGGATCCGAATCATTTGCAGGCCTCTTGCATAGCCGACGTGAGACGATAAACACCTGCAACGGCTCGTGGCCCCTGGTTATTTTGAGGCTTCTACAGATTCAGGGAGGCTCAAAGAATTATTATAAACATATTACAAAGGGACAAAGTCCGGCGAAGTAGCTCGTTTACATTTTTTTTCTTCTTCTTTTTTTTTTAAATCTACAGTAGACAGTTAAAGGAACTCTTACTTTGTTTCTCTGACCAAACCAAATTATGGTTCAGTTCTTAATCACTGGCAAATAAGCCTAAAATCCTTCAATAACAGAATAAATTCACTTTGAACAATCAATCAGAAGTCTCCATACTCTACGGTACTCAGAATGAGTACGGTGAAAACTTCCTGCTTTGCCTTTTTGTAGTTTAGGCGAAACGATCAGTTGTATGTCTCATCAGGCTTGTATCTAAACTTTTTTGTTTCCATAGATTTTCAAAACTACACAAATTTGATATTTATATGTAGTGATTCTGTATTGGTATTAGCCTACTGGTATTTTTAATTTTACTGTAATTACGTTGCCATTATATTGCAATATATACTGTTCTCGTGGAGTGTTTTGAGCAGGGGAGTTCATATATTTGGCTAGCAGTGTTGGAGTATGACGGCAACTCTGAAGGGGAGAGAGGGGACGGGAGATTTGTCAGGAGGAGGAGGATGTTAGTGAGACACGGGAGGAGGGTTTGCCACCTTCCTACCACTCTGATCTACTCTACTGTATTATATTTTAGTTCTTAGACTATTTTGTTAGTGTGGATTTTTTTTTCGTGAGAAGTGTTTGTCCAGGCAATTGCGGTAGAACAGCCCTCTGTGTGTGATAGAAGTCATATTTGTCCTGGGCCAGTAGAAAGATTCGATTAATGGGGACTCTGCTGTGCCGCAGAGGGCTCCATCTCATCAGGCACTTTGGAGAGCACAGCTGAAACTCACGAGACTTAATATATTTTATATCTGTACATTCTGCCAAAGTTCACCGTGTATATTTTGCAGCAGAGGTTTGAAGCAAGGCCAAAGGGAAAGAGGAGCTTATGGATGCTGACCAAGAAACTATTCCTACAGATCACTAACCAATATTTTGCTTTCAATATACCAATCCAAAATGTGAGTTAGTGGTGTTATGGTATGATTCTGTGTTTCCTTTGCATAGATTCGATTTTGTTAATTTTTTTAAGGGGAATTAGACTTCGGGAAGCTGCTTAAGCGAGAGGTTGGTTGTTCCTCTACACCAAACACTACGGTACAAGCATGAGGGCAGCCTTATCAGAAAGAGGCTTGATGAATGGAGCTTTTTGTTCAGTGAGTCACTTGGTTCACTGCACCGCCAGAGGTGGATGTTTAGCGTGGTTGATGGGAAAATGTGCTGTTTGTTCACCAACTTGTGCATCAGAGCTATTATGTAAATATTCTAAGAATTCTAAACTGAATCTTAGCCAGTGATCTGTAGGAAGGTTTGTTAAAGCCTGCTCTTTAAGCTAAGGAGATATATTTTATTCATGAAAAAAACGAAGAAAGCTATCAAGACTGCAGTGTACATTCAGGACAGAGCGTTTAATCGAAAGTTCTATAAATAGGTGGTTAATTTTCTGAGAGTATGCGATAAATGGGCATGGAAAGCACCTTGAGCAAACATACATTTACAAGTATATCTCACACAGATACTTTGGTGTGCATGTAAGCCATTGAAATAGATTATATAGTACTGTATCAAAGTTGTTTTCCCCTTAAGCGAATGTGTTTTTATTCCTAAGTATCTTTTATGTGCCATGACCTACTTTTCAAACGTCTACAACTACAATCGTCCCGGAGCTCTGGCACTCGTGCTTTTTATGATCAAATCCTTATTTTTTATCAATCTGCCATGTTTACAGTTAAAGCAGTGCCTTGGACTCGGGAAGGTGAGATGCTTTTTTTTGGAAGGGTTGTGAGCCCACTCCCCACCCCTATATGCCCGCCCCCTCGCTCCCACCCCCAAAAACTGAAAATCACATGAAGAAGAGGCACAATTATATTTGCTCCCTCGTCAAGATTAATGTCCTGTGCCAGTTAAGTGCACTTAAGTAAAATCCATATTATCTCTTAAATGGACTTGAAATGCTTTTTCTTTGTTCTTTCTTTCTTTCTGTTTTATTTTTTGGGGCAACATATATTCTAACGTCAAATAATCAGCAGACAAGAATCTATTGAGAGAATTGCAATAACAGATAAGTTAATATATGTCCAGTTAATCCAGTGTAACGTGTTGAGGATGTACTCACAGCAGGAGCCAGCATAGAGTAAAGCCATGAATATGTAGAGGAAAAAACAAAAGTTAATGTGCACACATCAAGTTAAACTGTGTGTGTATGTGTGTGTGTATGTGTGTGAGTGATGTCTGCTCCTAAAAATGTAGGTTCATTCTGCACAGGTGATCTAAGCGCTTCTTTAACATGTTGATTGTGTAATGTTGTAGTGGGGAGAGTAGCGTGACTTATCCTGAGAAGCCTATTTTATAAAATATGTAAATGAGTCTATATTGAGAAATAAAAAGTGAATGTACATCTATAAGACAGATTTGTATTTATATGAAAGTGTGTACCGCTCTATTAATCTAAGCACAATGTATTCTAAGGCCGAGAGATCAAAGCTATACCCGAGTCTAACGGAGAGATGGGATATTTTATTTGCCCCCCCTCCCCCAAATATTCCCCTCTTTCATTCTGTCATTCATTAAACTAGTCCGGGTGTGATTAGGAGTTGTTATAGCTAAGCAGGAGACAACTGTGTGTGTATGTGGACAGTCTTAAAAATCTATCCAGACAGAAACATACATGTCTGTTGTTAGCGGAGGAGTCAGGTGTGGCTGGGATTCAGACACTTGAGGTGACTCGCAGTCTGTTATTGGATCTGCCCTCTGGTGTAAATGGCCTACAGGGGGGTGACAGGCTGATAATATTCTCAGGAGATGATCGCAATGGTCATGAAGACAGAACTACACTGATGTTAGGAGCCCAATAGTGTGTGGTGTGGGGTCATCGGCTCTTCACACACCACAAACGAGCCAATAATCTTTCGTTTTCATAAAGTATTAAAAGTAATTCCACTGATTTTACACGTCAGAGTCTGTTTTTGGTGTCAGTAGGTGCTTCGTGTGATGTCGGGTCGCGCTGCTCGAGGCTGAAGGCCAACAAAAATTCTTGCATGAGACTACATTTTTGCACACCTGAATCTTTAACTGAAATTGCGGTGTGTGTTGTGGGAGCTTCAGTGTACAGGATAGTGGATGCATGCCTGGAAATAAAAAGATCTCTATTAATTCTGAAGTGTTAAACATGAATCTGGCTACTTCACACGTATAGCATGACGGACAGCTTATGAAAAAAAAATGAAAATCATCCAAATTGTAGGAGAGCTCAAGCTTGAGTGTGTGCAAAGCTTTGATGTGTAAAATCAGTGTTTTCCCCTCTTTTAAACACATAACTTCCATAATGTACTCCATTGGCAGTTACGTAAAATATCCTGCATACACAAAAAAATAATCACTTCCATGTAAACAAAAGCAAAAAGCCATAGCATCACTTAACTCTTGTCATTTTAACTGCATGGTTTGTGCTGGCAGGTTTTCTGGAGAGCACTGCAGCTAAATTATTAACGTTAACCATGAAAGCCTTTTGACAAACGTTTGTCGCCAACCCGACCGAGAGCGTCACTCCCAAACACTCAGCTTGTTGCCTCATTTCGTGCAGCAGAAATTCTTCTAATGGTGTTGCGGTCTGGAAGACGGACGAGTGGTTATGGTTGGTGATTTCCCTAAATGCACCTTAAGATGCGAAAGTGCTATTTCATTTTGTGCCAACGACCATTAAAAGACCTGAACCTCACAGCTCATTAGTTTCCTGGGAAGATTTGCGTCAGTCTGGCCGTAAGCTTGGACAGACTCGACCGCTGAATTTGTGTGATTTGACTCTTGAGTTGTAGGTGTGGAGGATTGTTCTTCTTTCTTTCTTCCTTTTTTTTTAATTTAAAGCAATACAAGCGTTTGAAGAGTTTCAAAATTGTCCATGCGAGTGTGACTTGCAGGTCGTGATTCTCCAGTGGCCTTCGGCAGACTTAACATAGGCTGGTTTGTGTGTTACAAAAATCATTCTGTGCTTTCGCTTTTGTTTGTAATCACACATACACAAAAAAAAAAAAAAAAAATTAATGTCGGTTTAACACAATCACATGCTGGGACGCTTGATGTAATCCAACAACTGCCTTTATGAACTCTTAAGTATCGATAAATGGCTGATAGATAATCATCTCATGAGGCACTCTTCTCTTCTAACTTATATTTCTAATCAATCCCGTGTGACAGGATTAGCAGCTGTAGTCGGGGAGTGAGGCAGATCAAAACATGGGGAGCTCTACATCGACGTGGCTCTTTGGACAGAAACACAATATCTCCTGTTCTTTTTCAATAACTTTTTGGTTTGTTTTTTAGAAAGACATCTTTGCAATGTTTTAGTGTGCGCGCGCGCGTCTGTGTTCCTCGTGAGAGATTAACTCCAGATTGTATTTCATAGACTAAACTTTAAACTTTCAAGATTGTGTTGAATGAATTCATGTCTTAATACAGATTGTTTGAAAAATAAAATACCTTGATCGCATTCGAGTCTGTTTGAATTGTTTTTCTTTGCACTGCAACATCGCAGCGAGGGCTGCAGTTGACATTGGTTTCGTATCACACAACAGCAGTGAACGGAGTGAGATGTACTTCAGTGTTCAGCCACATCATGGTGCTAAAAGTCTGCCTGGACTTCATGTTCCTGTCACTCCTCCTTTGTTACTCCGAAGCAACTGTGTAGGGTCCACTTAACAAAAGGCACTACTCAGTCTTCATAGCCTAACTTGTAAATAGATTTAACAAATTTTCTTCAAGATTTGTTTTTGGTTCACTGTCCTCATTTTCTGAGTCAGAGATGCAGAATGAGCTGCAGCACCCCCCGGTGTCTAAAGACAAAAGCATCCGCCAGACATTTCCATGTACCTAAAGTCTGCTAACATTGAGTTAGTGGAAAAGATATGACGTGCATCGGCATTCAACATAAAATTTCTTTGGAGACTGAAGGTTCAGGTTGCTGCCACATATGTCTAATTAAGCAGATAACCAAGTTTGCTGTGAGCCAGCTTTAAGTTTTAACACTACATTTACTGGCCACACCTCACTATTAGGGGTCTTGACCCCTTTTTGCCTTCAAAGCTGCTTTACTACTTGGCAGATTCCACAAGATGCAGGAAACAGAAACTTTGGTTCATATTGACATGCAGCAGCCTGAAAGGATGTATCCATGGTTTCGTTATTTGACAGGACTAAATTCTGACCTGACTATCTGAATGTCGCAGCAGAAATCAAGACTCATCATGCCAGGGGACTTTTTTTGAATCTTGACCATGCCTAAATGACTTCCTGCCATGTGATTGGCTGATTATTAGATATATTAGGTAAAACAAATATCTAAAGAGGGAGGGGACTGTATATTCCAATAACCCATGTATGTCTATATCAGTGCTACTTTCAAATCTCAGGTTTAAGTAAAAACCTGAGGTTGTATAATGAGAATACCTGACAATATGCACTTAATACTCAGTTAAACGTGTCACAGTTTTAGAAACAATTTTAAAAGGAAAACACAATAAAAGGCAGGAGAGGCAGTTATTTATTAATAATATGTACAATTATAGTAATGTCCAGATAATACAGTGACAAAGTCAAAGTTTGATTATTGGCTCCTACTCAATAAGACGTGCTTTTACTTCTCAACTTCTCTTAATCTCAGGTTGTTTTGGATTCATGTAACTGTCTCAGTATCCTCTGTTAATAAGTGTATTTGAGGCACACAGGAAGAACAGGAATAAAATAAGTGTGTAAAATTGGAAAAATTGGAAAAAAACTGGGTGAAGACAGTGACTGCGTGACGGACTGAAACAGATGAAAATCAGTTGATATCTTCATTGAGCTCAATCATCTGTTCATCGGTGAATGTTTTTCCTTCTTTCTTACTTTCTTTATGTAAATGGACTCAGGTGGTTCCGCCTTCACGTCACCACTGCTGAGATGCGTGTGGTAAAGAGACCGAAACAACAAAGAAAAATGAGTCTGAAGTGTATTTCGAGCAAAGTCATAAGACGAAAATATCGGGTAACATTCGCTCCACTGCTTAACACGAGAAGCAGTATGTCTCATGATAAGCATGTGTGAGAATGAGTGCGTCAGATAGTGTTGATGGGATTTGTGTTTTCGGCTGAACAGCTGAATATTCGGCTGTATTTGGTCATATTTTGACCTGTTATGTGCATGTGTGTGTTGCACTGTGGCCTTGCTGCTGTGCACTTTCATCGGCGGTAGGTAGTGTGGGCATGTGTTTAGGTCTTGTTATCTTATCCTGCATACAATACATATGTGTGTATGTGT